CGCTCCAGCGCTGGGAATTGCCCCATGCCCCGTCCCGGATCCCAGGCTGCCTGCAGTAGCCGGCTCTCTGCAGGGCGTGGAGCTGCAGGTGGGACCGTGGTCAGCAGGGGGCGCTCGGAGCCTGCGGATGGTGGGGAGCCGCGGTGCAGGACGGGGGCGGGGGGGCGAGGCGGGGCCGAAACACTTGGCAGCGTCCGCGCGATCTTGCACAGTGGCTTCCCAGAGAGATAGACCCCCTCCTCCAACAGATTCACAGACAGCACTCGGGGATGGTGGGCAGAGGGCGCTGGGGGAGCTGGGTGGAGGTGAGGGTGCCCGTGCTGGCCTCGGGTGGGGGCAGGACGAGCTGGCTGTGGTGACCAGGAAGACAGATGGGGAGGCGAGGACTCTGGACTCAGACTCAAGCCCTCTGGAAAGTACCCTAGCTCCAGCCTGGACGTACAGCGCCCCCTAGGGTTGTTAGAATTCTGAGTTGGCAGAGCCCCGGGCCTCTCCCCGACCACCTGCCTCATTCCCTCAGGGTTCAAGTCCACTATGAGGCCCCGCCTAGGCGGGCTGGCCACCTCTGGCTGCTGCCTTCCACTCTCCCCTCTTTCCATGTAAGTCCCCAGGCAGGGGAGGCAGGCTGCTGCCTCAGGGTCTGTGCACATTCTGGAAGGTTGCCAGCAGACCTCCCTCCCCACCCAGTCTGTTTTTGGCTGAGGTGTCTGCTGCCCCCTGGCCCCCTGCACACCTTCCTGCCCTGGCTTCCTAGGCTGTATTAACCCCATGTGGCTTGCTGTCTCCCCCAGGAGCACATAGACTCCCCCTGGGCAGGGGCCTGGGCGGGTTCCTTTCCTGCCGGGTCCCCAGGGCACATGGGAGGCACCAGGGGATGCTGGCTGGGGACGAGTATTATTATTTGTTGGCTGAGGACTGAGGCTGGCATGTGCCTGTTGGGAGTTGGGGCACAAGAATGGGCAGGGCTGGGCTTTGCTCAGTTTAGGGCATTTGCAGGGGCCACACAATCGTTTTGTAAAAATGTATTTATTTATTTGAAAGTCAGAACTACACAGAGATCGGGAGAGAGAGAGAGAGATCTTCCAAACACTGGCTCATTCTCCAAATGGCCACAATAGTCAGAGCTGTGCCGATCTGAAGCCAGGAGCCAGGAGTTTCTTCTGGGTCTCCAATGCAGGTGCAGGGGCCCAAGCACTCAGGCCATTTTCTTCTGCCTTCCCAGGCACGTCAGTAGGGAGCTGGATCAAAAGCAGAGCAGCTGAGACTTGAAGGGATGTTGGCATCACAAGCAGTGGCCTAACTTCCAACCCCTTGAGCCATCACTCCTGCCTCCCAGGGCCCCGCCTTCGCAGGAAGCCCTCTAATATGTGTCTTTGCCGCTCAGCTACACACTTTCCCCAGACCTGAGCCCAGTGTGTGGGGAGGCCGGGCTTGCTCCGGCTCCTGGACAGTGTTAGGCCAGCCATGGCCAGCAGGGGGCAGTGGTTGCCGCAGTGCTGTTGGCCAGAGAAGGCACTGACTTTCCCTGATGGAATGCAGCCCGGCCGGTTGGCTCCCAGAGGGAAGGGGCAGGGTTGGGCCACTTCCCGTTTGCTCTCTAATCTGGGCAGACGGTAACCACGGGGAGTCAGGCTTCCCCAGGCCAGGCACTGGGCATAAAAAAAAAGACTTTGAAGGATGCGTGTCTGCTTTTGTTATTACCATGCACTTGCTGTGTGTAAGCACAGTGCTGGGTTCTCTTCTCTTGCATCTGGGAGGCAGGGGCTGTTATCCCCCCCACCCCGCCACCCCTTACCCCCCCCCACCCCGCCACCCCTTACCCCCACCCCCCCTTACCCCCCCCACCCGCCACCCCTTACCCCCCCCAGCCCCGCCAGCCCGGCCAGCTTGCCCAAGACCAGGATCCTCTCTGCTGGCCACAGCATCGGTTAGGAGGGTGCCTCACAATGTCCCCACCACAAACGGGCAGATCACCATGCTCGCCTCCAGCAATCTGAGTGCCTGGGTTCGATTCCCGCTTCCGGCTCCTGACTCCAGCTTCTGGCTGATGTGGGACCCTGGGAGGCAGCAGTGACGGCTCAGGGTACCAGGTCCCCTGCCACCCCACGTGGGAGACCTGGATGGAGTTCCTGCCCCCACCCCCTACCCCCTTCTTCGGCCTTGCCCAGCCCTGGCCTTTAGCACTGAATCAATAGATGGGAGCTGTTTTTTTTTAATCGATTTTTTAAAAGATTTTATTTTATTTGTTTATTTGAGAGGTAGAGTTACAGACAGTGAGAGGGAGAGGCAGAGAGGCAGAGAGAGAGAGAGAGAGAGAGAGAGAGAGAGAGAGAGAGAGGTCTTCCTTCCATTGGTTCACTCCCCAAAATGGTCGCAACAGCTGGAGCTGTGCAGATCTGAAGCCAGGAGCCAGGAGCTTCTTCCCAGTCTCCCACACAGGTGCAGGGGCCCAAGGACTTGGGCCATCTTCTACTGCTTTCCCAGGCCACAGCAGAGAGCTGGATCAGAAGAGGAGCAGCTGGGATGCAAACCGGTGCCCATATGGGATGCCAGCACTGCAGGAGGAGGATTAACCTACTGCGCCATGGCGCCAGCCCCACTAAACAGAAGTTTTAAAAAAAGGTAAGTTTGTGTTGGCGCCAAAAATGTTTAAAACCCATGCAGTTTTTTGTTGTTGTTGTTGTCACAAAATGCGGCACCTGCTAGGTGCTCAGAACGTCCTCAATGGCTGCCATCCCTGCCACCCACGACTTCATTCATTTGCCCAGCATCTAATGAGCGCCCACTGCACACACAGCACCCTCTGGACGGCGGTGAGGGCGCCAGGGTACCCCACATTGCAATCTGTGCCCTCACACACCCCCTTCATCACTTGCACCTCCAGCTTCCCCCGCTGACTCCCAGCCCCAGACTGGGGACTGAGCGAATCTGTACCCTCCCTCCCTGCCCCCCCCCCCCCGCCTCCTTGCACACCCTAACACCCGCTCCTGCCAAGCCGCCTGCTCCTGTCCTCCGGGAAGCCCTCCCAGGCTAACTTCTCCAGCTGCGCTGTCGCTCTCAGTTCTGTGGTCTCCCAGCCCACCGGAGCTTCTTAGCCGCAGCGCCTCCTCCTCTGCTGGGCGCCTCGGGTCGCAGTGCGCACAGAGGTTACAGGTCTCTCTGGGCTGCAGCTAATGAGAGAAAGGAGAGCTGAACCCAGGTCCGGGCTGCTTTTTGTTGCTGTAGCCCGAGCCAGGCTGGTGCCCTTGGCCAGGCATTTGCTGAATTACTGAAGAGCAGGAGTGGAGGAGAGAGGTCAAGGACCCTGGGGTGGGGGGTATGGGAGGAGCGGACCCCTCCAGATCTGCTGGCAGGGCGGGGCAGGAGAGTCTGCGTTTGCAGTTCGCTCCCACAGGACCATCCGTTCTGCACATGCTCAGTGAGTCCTGTGTGTGCCACCAGGGACCTGCTCTTGCCCCCGTGGGACTAAAGGCTGGGAGGTCTTGGTGGGGGAGGGGCGTCACTCATTCCTTCAGCTTCTGTTGCCTGAGCACCTGCTGCGAGCCAGGCCCTGTGCAAAGCCCTGGGGAGGCAGTGGGGGCTCCCAGTCTTTTAGCCAGGGGTGGGGGCAGGGGCGGGGGGCTTTGCCTAAGCAGAGGAGTGGGAGTGGAAGACATGGAGGTGACTGCTGGGTGGCTTGATGTTGCCCCGGTCACCCAGGGCAGGGCCAGGCCCAGGCTTGGGGTGTGTGTGCTCGCCCCATGCATGTTTGCCAAATGAATGGCCCACTTGTGGGCAATAAATTTCTAGAAATAACGCATGAGTCCAAGACTACAAAAATGTTTTGGGGCCTGGTGGTGGTGCAGTGAGCTAAGTTGCCACCTGCCATGCTGGCTCTTGTATTATCTGAGTGCTGGTTCAAGCCCTGGCTGCTGGGGCTGGCGCTGTGGCGTAGCGGGTAAAGCCGCTGCCTGTGATGCCGCCATCCCATATGGGCACTGGTTCAAGTCCTGGCTGCTCCATTTCCGATCCAGCTCTCTGCTATGGCCTGGAAAAGCAGTAGAAGATGGCCCAAGTCCTCGGGCCCCTGCACCCACGTGGGATACCTGGAGGAAGCTCCTGGCTCCTTGCTTTGGAAGATCTCTCTCTCTCAACCATCCCCTTCAAATAAAGAAATAAACCTTTAAAAAACGAAATAAAACTCTTTGAACAACATAATAAAAATGCTGCAAACAAAAGAAAAAGGAAGCCGTCAACAAGGCTTAGCTGGGAATTTCTGCCGGTCAGCGACGCAGGGCAGGCAGCTGGAGGTGATCAGAACTGCAAGCTCCGAGGAGGTGGGAGGACGTGAGTGATGCACACGTTGCCTCATTCCTGCCCAGCACAGCCCCATTTTTGAAGACAGACGTGAATGAGAGCCGGTATCAGCTCGCGGCCTCTCTCGGGTGGGGATGTGGGGATGTGGTTTACCCGTCCCCGAGTTCCCCCGGGGCTGAGGATGGCGCAGCTCGCCCCTTGGGGTTCTCAGGCGAATGGATGAACTTGGCCTGTGAACTTCCAGCCGGGAGGGCCTGGCCGTGCTGACACTGAGCGAGGCAGCCTTGGTGCTCTGTCAGCCTTCACATCTGCTGTGCGGGCAGCAATCGGCTTCTTGTTCAGGGTGCCCAAGCCAGAGAGCTGCCATTGCTGAGAGAAACAGGGCCCTCCCCGACCCGGCCCCTCCCGGGGAGCTGAGGCGGACAGTGGGTGCTGAGTGTCCCAGACTGGGAAACAGGCAACTCGGAGGCCGGAGGGGGCGGGCGGGCATCCTCCAGCGCCTCTGTCTCCTCGGATTCCGATAATCTCCTTGCACCTGCACAATCTCTTTGAGGGATGGTGGGGAAGAAGACCTTTGGGAGTGCAAGCTGCCTTGAGCTGGGGGCAGAGCCAGGTCCCTGCATCCCCCCCATCAGCCCACCATCAGTCTGATGGCTCAGGGGCCTGACCCACCCCAGAGCAGAGAGAAAACCAGACCCGGAGGCTTTATCCTCAACATTTTATTCATTCCCTTGGCAGGGGGAGGGGCGTAGCCCCGAGCCAGCAGCCAGGTGAGGCAGTTGGGGTCCGAGTGATTTTCCAGAATAGTACATACAGCACGAAGCATGCAGGAACAGGACGGGAAGCAATAAGTTAAAGCCACATAAGTTACGAAACAAAAAATAATATATACTTTCTCTCTCTTCCATCCCCACTGAGGACCCACGCCCCGGGAAGCCGACAGATAGCCCGAGAAAAAGCAGCACCGTCTTTTGGGACTTTGGGGGTGAGTATAGGGTGGGCTCCCTGTGGCCTGAGGGTCAGCAGCCCACTAGCACCGCTCCTGGGGCGGGGGCCTCAGGCCCTGCCCCCCTGGGGACATGAGAGGCAATAGGAGGAGCAGCAAGTGGGGGGAGAGGGAGGGAATGAGAGCCCAGGGCTGGGGGGGGGGTGAGGTGGGGGGGGGGGGTGCGGAGCCCCCTCCCGCCTGCTGGCCTGCCCGCCCGCCCACTGGGGGCTTCCTGCTGGCTGCATGCAGGGCTGCTCTCTCTGCCCACAGCCCCAAGGGCTCCGACGCCCCCAGACTGGCCGGGACTCTGCATCGTCATGGCCTGCTGCAGGGAGGCAGAGCAGCTGTGGAGGAGGGAGGCAGGGGCCTGGTGGTGGTGGTGGTGGTGGGGTGGGGTGGGGGGGGTTGAGGAAGGGGCTGTCACCTTCAGCTAAGCAGGAGAGAGCAGAGGCCTGGCAAGTGGCCTGCTTGGGAAATGGGCCTGGGGTTGCACAGCAGGCACCAGCCCAGTATCCTGGCTGGAGGCAGAGCGCTCAGGCCCCAGGCTGGGTGGGTGGCTGTGCGTGGGAGGGAGGGAGGGGCTGATTCTCCTGCTTGGTTCAAGCTGCCCACTGCCTCCTGCTCCCCGTGAGTGGATCATGGCAAGAATAACTTTTGGAGAAGGTGCTTAGAGCTGGCTGGGTGCAGCCTGCTCAGGCGTGGTGATGGCCCCCTCGGTGGTGGGGTGGAGGAAGGGGCTGGTATCCAGGCTGGCCTGAGGTCCAGGCTCAGCTCTCAGACACCCAGGGGTCCTCCTGCACTCACCCCCTAATACTGTCAAGTGTCGGGGGAGCCCAGGTGGTGCAGAAGCCAGGGGGGACCCTCAGCACCCCAGGGGGCAGCTGGGGGGCTGGGGCCTGGGCCAGGTGAGCAAGGCCTTGCTCCCAGGCAGTGGCAAGGCAAGGCTTGAGCAGTGAGTTCAGGGCAAGCATTGGGCAGACGCATGAAAAGCACCTGGCAGGAGCCCTGTGTCAGAGGGAGAGCCCAAGAGTGGCAGTGAGGTGGAGCCACAGTGTCCCCCAAGTCCCAGTGCAGGCAGTCGGGAGAGCTTCCAGCCCCAGGCTGGAAGGCCGGGGCAGTGAGAAGCTATGCAGGAGGTGGAAGCTGGGGGGACCCGAGGGACCCTGACTCTCCCCTCCCATCCCCCGAAACCCACAGCCAAGCAGCCCTGCTCCGAGCCCTGCTGCTGTCAGCGTGGTGGCAGGTTCCGCCTCCCCTCCCAGCTGCTCTCTGGAGTCTAGCTGGAGTCCCTCCTGCTGCAGCGGCGGCGGTGGGGGGGGGACCCCGGGGCTCCGGGGCTCCAACGCCCTACTCGGAGACCTCGGACTCCTGCGAGAGGTACTTCTCTGACATCTCTGTGATTTGGATCACGTGGCCTCTGCTCTTCTTCTTCTTCCGGGAGGGGCCCGCGGAGAGGCGGGATTTGGAGGCTGCTGCCAGGGACATAAGGGTGGGGGAAAGGAAGGCACTGGAGGCTGGCTGCTGTTGACACCTTTGGGGTCACCGTGCCCCTGCCTCTCCCCCTCCTCGGGTTCCTGGGCCGCGCGTACTCACCGACTCTGGATCGGGACTGCACTGCGCTGATCACAGCGGCCGAGGGCAAGTCCATCCTGGTGGGGGGGGGGGTGGACAGAGGGATGTGGTGGGAGGGGAAGGGAGCCCGTGGTTCTGGCTCCCGTGGGAATGAGGGCCCAGGGACTGGCAGGGGGAGGGCATGTGGCAGTGTGTGTGCACGGCCACACGATCCCTGCCTCCCCCACCACGCACGGGAGCCATGCTAACGATTTTCCAAGCGGGCCAAGCTCCCGGATTGTAAGTGGCCAAGCCGGGACTGGAACCCAGGTCTGCCCAGTGGTCCCTCCCTCCAGCCCTCCTCCCTCCACCCCGCGCACCTGCTCTCCTCGCCCTCCACCAGCTTGTGGTAGGTGGCGATCTCGATGTCCAGGGCCAGCTTCACATTCATGAGCTCCTGGTACTCGCGCAGCTGCCGCGCCATGTCCTGCTTGGCCCGCTGCAGGGCGGCCTCCAGCTCGGCCAGCTTGCCCTTGGCGTCCTGGAAAGCCAGCTCGCCCCGCTCCTCGGCTGTCTGGATGCTCTCCTCCAGTTTCAGGCACTGCAGCCAGGTGGACAGAGGGGAAGGCGTTGGGGAGCGGAGCAGGGAGGGGGCAGAGAGGGTGTGTGTGTGTGGGTGGGTGCCGCACTGGCTCTGCAGGCTTGTCCTGGCCGGATGCCGGCTCCGGGGCCCTCCACTCCCTCCTGTGAGCCTTATCACTGCCTTAGGAGGCTTGCTCCCATCCCATTCTGCAGGTTAGAAAACCGAGGCATGGAGGCTCAGGGTCACGAGCACCCTCCCCTCCCCCTGGAGGGGGGTGCTCCTCACGTGACTCTTGGCGGAGAGGATCTGGGAACGCAGTTTCTGGATGCGCACGTTGAGGGCGGCGATCTCACAGCGGCTGCTCTGCAGGCTGCTCCCGAACTCGGCCGAGCGGGCTGCCCGCTCCTCCAGCTGCAGGGCCGTGGGGGAGGAGGGTGGCAGTGAGGGGCGGCTCCTGTGTCGCCCCCAGCACCCCGGCTCCGCCTTGCTCGTGAGCCCCTGCACCGTGCCCCACCTGCCCAGCATGGCTGAGGGCTTCTCTCCCGGCTGCTTCCCCCCAACCCCCCGGGACGGTCAGGCCGCCCCACCCCTGTGCGTCTCCAGTCCCCTCTGGGATATTGGTCACCCTGGGGCCCACCAGCAGTGCCAACCTGGTTCCGGGAGTGCGCTTCAGCCTCCTCCAGGCTGCGGGCCGCGATGGCGTCGTACTGAGCTTTCACCTCCTCCACGATGCCGCTCAGGTCGATGGGGCAGCGGCTGTCCACGCCCAAGGTCACCGACACATCCTTCACTTGGGCTGCCAGGTCCTTCAGCTCCTGGCCGGGCACAGACGCGGGGGGCTCAGGGCTGGGGGACAGGGCATGAGGCCCCCCTGCTGCCCCCGGTGCCTGTTCCCCTTCGCGAGTCCCTGGAGAGATGGGAAAGGGTGACTTCCTGCTGCGGCTTCCCCTCGGGCTGGATGCCCCCATCCCCCACCTGGCTCTGTCCATCTGAGCAGAGGGGAGCAGGGCCGGGAGGGCTCTTGGCTCCCCAGGTCACCCTGGCTTTGGGTCTGCAGAGCCACGTTCGTCCCCAGGCTCCCCCAACATTGAATAAGTGTTGGCATGCAACCCCTGGTAGGTGGCCTGCACCCTACTCCTGACCCATAAGTGCAGCTGCCCCAATATTTGCTTTCTTTTCTCCCTGTCCTGTGACCTTGGAGAAGAGTGAAACTACCCCCCCCTTTCCCTGGGACTCACCAGGGGCCAGCCCCCTACCTCGCTCTCCCCTACCCCCGCCGCCCAGGCTCCCCAGACCACAGGGGAGCAAGCCGAGGCCCAGGGAGTCATGGAACCACTGCGGGTGGTAGGGCTGGGCCTGGAGCTGGTGCTGTTGGCTGGGCAGCTGCACGGAGCCAGAGCAGCTCGGACGTCTTTCCAGCCTTTTGGCAAGCTTTCTGGCCAGCGTGCTCTCTAGAGGCTTGCAAGGGGTCTGTCTTGGGTGGCCTGAGTGGGGGACGGAGGACAAGCGGCACACAGGGCTTCCCCTGGCAGCCTTGTAGGAGGGGAGGAGAGGCGGGGAGGGAGCCTGGTGGAGGCAGGGGTGGGGTAGGGTGGGGTGGGCAGGGCTGGGGCAGCGCCTGCATCCTGCGCCTGCTGGCCCTGGCAGTCCACCCGAAGCCCCCGGTTTCAGCCATCAGCTCGCAGTCCGCGTGCCTAGCTTGCAGACTGCCTCGTGATTTTTGAAATGCGATCCAGTTGAGGGCTCTGCATGGGGTCTTCAGATAGCTCAGAGACCAGGCGCCTACCCTTCTCGTTCGGGTTTGCACACAAGGTTTTGAAACTGCCTTGTGCGTACTCTCCGTTAACCGCAGACCCGATCTCTCTCTCTCTCTCTCTCTCTCTCTCTCTCTCTCTCTCTCTCTCTCTCCCGCTTTCCTGGTTGTCTTCGTAACTGAGAACGCCGGCTGGCTGCCTCGCAGGATCCCCACATCGGGGGCTTCGCTGAGCACCCGAGCCAATGATGTCCAACCTGCACCTCCCTCCGCTGCAGAACCGGCACTCGGCTCTCGGGGCTGTGTCGAAGCCGAGTTCAGTTGAATGGCTTGTGACTGCACCCTGAGTGTGGCTCTGACCTTGGGCCCTTGCTGACCCTCTGAACGTGCACCTGTATGTTCAGAGAGGCACAGCCGGTGGGCGCGGCTCTCGTGTCTGTCCCTGGCAAAGGCTCTGCTGCTTCTGCCCGGCGACCTGTATGCCAGAGCCGTGGCTGTAGGGCTGAGGGCTGTTGCGCGTGGCTGCTGCCTGGTGACAAGGAGGGGCTCCTGAGAGGTGGTGGGCATTGTGAGACCCCCCTGGGGGCAGTCTGGAGGACCCTGGGCTCAGTGGCCAGCCTCATGGTGAGGGCTTCTGGCTGGACTTCACGTGAACTTTAGCTGGGGCCCCCAAGCAGAAGCAGGCTGTGGGGCTGACTCCAGCCAGTACTACATGCACCATCACTCTGGGCTTGTGATGCTGTCCCCCCTCCCCCACCCCCAGACCACCACTGCCACCTCCAGGGGGAGCTGGCGTCCCAGCCGGGGACGAGAGGGTGCTGCGTGTACAGCCATCCTCACGGGGTTCCGTGCACTGGGTAGGTGGTGCTCTCCTGGGCCCCTCTGTGCTGGCTGGTAAAACGCAGGGTTTGCTGGCATGAGACTCTCATTGCCAACACCTTTTATTAGCCAGGTGACCCTCATCAAGTTGTGAAGTCTCTCTGAGCCTCAGTTTTCTCATCTGTAAAATGGGTATAATCACAGACCCGAAACCAGCTGAGGTTTCTTCAATGCTCACCCTGTGCCTGACATGGTTCTAAATGCTTTTGGGTGCATTAACAGAACACAGCTTCCGAGCAGCCCAGTGAGGTAGGTGCTGTTAATCTCCCCGCTCTATATATGGGCAAACTGAGGCGAACAGAGATTAAACTAAGCTGTTCCAGCACACACAGCTCCTGAGCCAGGATTCAAATTGGCATTGCTCAAAAATCAATGCTGTTTCGATCATTACTTCTACTTCATAGGGTTGTGAGAGCGAATTGAGATTAAGTCAGCAAAGCACTTAGCCTGGAATATAGCAGGTGCACAATAGGTAGTCAGAGAGGGGGATGTTTTAGGGTTTCTGGAGGGGCAGGTGGATGCGGCCAGAGCCCGAGTGTACTGGGAGCTGCACCAGAAGCTGAGGAGGGGAGGGCTATGAGTTTCTGCCCCCAGGGTCTCCTCATTAGTCTGTGTCCTGGAAGGGAGGGGCAGAGGGGTGGTCTAGGGGGCTGCTGTGTGTAGATGAGGCCTTGGGGTCTTGATCAGCTGGCTGGGGAGGGTTTGTAGAACACATGCCAGCTGCCTCTGTGTGTGTGTCCATGCGTGCATGCGTGTGTGTGCATGTGTGTGCGTGCATGTGCACATGTGTGCTGGGGCTGGGCTGGGCCCCTGCGGCAATGTTTTTCTGATCCAGCATCTGCTCCAAAGCCGAAGCTACAGTGCCCAGGTGTTTTCCTTCCAAGTGGGGCAGCCGCAGCCGGTGCCTCCCTTTGCTCGCAGCTGCTCTGGCCAGTGAGGCAGCCCCTAATCACCTGTGCTACTGAACACTTGAAGGGGGCCAGGCCCAAGTCAGAACAAACTGTGAGTATGAAGTACACACTAGGAACTGGTGCTGTAGTGAAGTGGGCACTGGTTCGAGACCCGGCTGCTCCACTTCCGATCTAGCTCTCTGCTATGGTCTGGGAAAGCAGTGGAAGATGGCCCAAGTCCTTGGGCCCCTACACCCCTGTGGGAGACCCAGAAGAAGCTCCTGGCTCCTGGCTTCAGATCGGCTCAGCTCTGGCTGTTGCGGCCATCCTGGGGAGTGAACCAGCAGATGGAAGACCTCTCTCTCTCTCTCTCTCTCTCTCTGTCTGCCTCTGCCTCTCTGTAACTCTGCCTTTCAAATAAATAAATCTTAAAAAAAATACACATTAGATTTTTCATACTTAGACGCATAATTCAAATGATCTGGTTTTTTTTTTTTTTTAAATGTGGCATCTAGGGGTGAGTGCATAGCCGGATGATTTAGGTGCCAGTTAAGATACCCGCATCCAAAACTGGAGTGCTTGAGTTCCACGTCTGACTCTGGCTCCAGGCTCCAGCTTCCTGCTAATGCAAACCCTAGGAGGCAGGGCCGATGGTTCAAGGCACTGGCCTTCTGCTGCCTCTGTGGGATCCCTGGGTTGAGTGTCTGGCTCCTGGATCTGATCCCAGCCCAGTCCATTTGGGGAATGAATAAAGCAATAAGGACTCTCTGTATCTGTCTCTCCAGAGAACTTGAAATGACATATGGGGCTCACAGAGCTATTCTAGGGGGCAGCACTGGCTTAGAGACCCCCCTGGAGTGGGTGCAGAAAGTTTGTAGCCAAGGGGCCAGTGTGGTCTTTGCAACCTCCTGGCCCCAACACCAGCTCACCACCTCGCTGCCTCCCGAAATGTCAGCCCCACAGCCCCATAGTCAACCAGGCACAGAGCAAAAAGAGCTGGGGAAGAAACCCAGTGTCTGTACCGACTGCGTAGATGCTTTCCTTGTCATTATTCCCGGGCCACACAGCGTAAGCCCTGATGGATGTAGCGTTAGCGTCGCTTCAGGTTTTGTAAGTCACCCAGAGAGGGGACCCACACAGTGGACTCTACGCCGTCTCATATCTCAGGGTCTGGGGATCTGGGGGGAGGGGTCTTGGAATCACTGCCCTGAGGAGACCAGAAAGGGACAGCTGGACCGCCAGGCACCTGCTACGCAGCCTGCAGTCCCTTCTCCACGGGGGTCCTGTAACTGCATAGACCACACTCCGAGACCCCCATGCACAACCCCTCTGTGATACCCAGCCCCGATACACATCACAGGTGACAACGTCTGACCCCGCCTCTGGCCCAAGACTCCATGTGAGTGACTTTCCAGAGCCCCGGCTCCTGCCCCAGCCCTGTCTGCTCTCAGCACAGTGGCATCTTTCTCTTTAATCACCAAATTCAGTCCTGCCTCCCCACTCTCCCCGCTGCCTGGGATGCAGTCTGGGACGTACACGGGACTGGCCCCATTTCACAGGTGAGGGAGTGATGGTTGAGGCACAGAGGGGACATACATGGCACTCAGAGTCGCAGAAACGGTAAAGAGGAGTTTTGTAGGGGTGCCGCGGCAGGGCCCGGGGATAGCGCTGGTCACCTCCAGCCATTTGCCTCTTTGATTGCCACACCTGCAGGGTGCCTGTCCTGGCTTGGAGCATAAGCTCTGAGCTTGCCGAGGCGTCCGTGAGCGCAGGGACAAGGCCGGCTGCAGAAATGCTGGCCCTGCTCACAGTGAGTATGGGCAGAGGGACGCCTAAGCCAAGCCAGCCAGCAGGTGCGGTGTCCCGGTCGGCTCCCTGCCCTTCCCCACACACTCAGGCTTTTCAGGGTCGATGGTGGAGGTGGTCCACTGGGGGCGCTGCCTCCCTCCCTGCTGTTCTCAAGGCTCTGAGCTGTGCTATGGCCATATCTGGTCTTAGCCCTACCCTGAGGGGAGCCCTGGCTGGGGGCGGAGCCTGCTGCAAAGCCCCCCCCCCCCCCCCTCACCTTGCAGAGCCGAGGCCATGAAGCTGTGCTCAGAGGTCCCCCAGGGCTATTTTAGCAGAGCTCTGCGAAGATGCCTTTGAACTTGGCTGTGGCGCTGCAGCTTGGCACCAGCCGTTTGTAGCACAAATGTTGCTAAACCCCTGTTGTCCCCCACGATGGCTCTGCCTCCTGCTCTTAGCTGGACCAAGGGCATTTGTGGAAGGGGGCCCTAGCTCAGCAGTACCTGCCCTCCACCCCCGCAAGCCCTGCATCGGGCTGTGGATGGGAGAATGCAGCTTCGCCTGGGGTTGGGGGGAGGGAGCGGCAGGTGGCAGCCACAGCTGGGTCCACCATGCACATGTGGGCAGCACACACACCAGGACTGGCTGGGCTATGGACTGACCCCCGTGCCTGCTTTTACTGGGTCTCTTTTGTCCCCTGCAGGAGTTGGTACTGCCAGGGAACAAGAGAATTCTGATTGCAAGCTGCCCCTGCCCGAGCCCCAAACTGAGTTGGCTGTGACACACGCTGAGCAGAGCTGGCCTGGGTGGGTGTGGGGCAGCTGTGGCTCAGACTGCAGGGGTTAGAGAGAGACCAATGCCATTGGAATGGTTGTTCAAGGCTCCTGGACTGAGGCCAGACTCCCGATCCCCGCCTGGGGCACCTGCTGCCCTGCACGCCCTCAGCTCTCCAGCACGGGTGAAGACATGGTTCTCTCTCAGAGAGGGGTCTTTGCGGGGAACCTGCCTGTGCTCCACGGGGCAGGTGGAAGGCGGACATGTGGGATTGTGGACGGGAAGGCGCTTGGGAAATTGTGACTGGCGCAGGTTCCAAGCCGCACCTCACGCTGTTCCCTCGCCTGCCTCCCGCCCCCCACCTCCCTTGCCCGTGGACCGGTCAGCTCCTGGCTCAGCCGGACACTGGCCCCGTCTCACTCACCTGCTCGTAGATGGTCTTCATCAGCTCCACGAAGCTCTGCAGGCCCTTTAACTTGGTTTCCAGTTCGGTCCGTCGGAGACACTCTGCGTCCAGGTCCTAGGGTTGGGAGCAGTGGTGAGAGATGGAGAGGGAGAGGGAGGGCCCGGCCCAGGGCAGGAGTGGTGGTGGTGGTGGGGGGCTTTGCTTCCTGGGTGAGAGTGGGCGTGGTTCTGGAGGAGATTGGAGCCTGGGAAAGGAGTGGCATGTGGACGGGGGTGTCTGCTGGCCCCAGGGGAGGTGACCCTCCAAGCCCGGCATGGGCACAAAGGACAGCAGGTGGTCTTGAGGGGAGGGGCTGGGGGGCCGTGCATGGAGAAGCCCCAGGGAGGCAGTGGTACCTTCTTCAGCTGGACGAAGGTAAACTCCAGGTCTGTGCGCTTGGAGATCTCATCCTCGTACCTGGAGGGGAGAAGGAGGCAAGGGAGCTGGGGCCTGTGCACCTCGCCCAGGCAGCTTCCCCCAGGGCCTGTGCCAGTGGGGAGACAGTGGCCCTTCCACGTCCTCGCTGCATACTCCCCCTGCTGTGACACCCTGGCGCGGGCAGGGCACCTGTTCTCTTCCTCCTGTTCACCTCCCCTCCCCTCTGCCCTGTCCTCCCCTGGCCACTTCTGGTCGCTTCCTCTCTGCTTCACGTCTACCTCCTCCAGGAAGCCTCCCCAGGTTGTGTAGCCCTTGCACCCGGCACTCTCCGTTCTTTCGTATTTTCCCCTATCAAGCTCAGGTTCAGATGCTTTGGGGCCAAGTCCCCTCGGACTTTGCTACCCCCACCCCTCTCAAGTTCCCCATAAGCGTGGTCTCAGGTTCATCATGGGTGGGCCTGGGTCCTGCAGGCTGCACTAAGCCCACCAGTGATGCACCTGTGCCTGCAAGATGAACCTGTAGAAGCTGCGACACCTGGATCCGATGCCCAGTCTCGGAGAGCGAGTCCGCTGGGCCAGTCCACGTTTACAAACTGCCTCTGGTGCTGTTGAACTAAGGGAGTTTCTGTAACTTCAGCCTCCTCCCCTGGCGTGTGCTCGTGTGTGTGTGTGTGTGTGTGCCAGCTGGAGCTGCCAGAGCCCACCTCTGATGCAACCAGTGCTCAGCAAACTGTAGCACCTTCCTCCTCGCTCTGGTGTCCACCGGCCTCTGCTCCTGTCCCAGCAGCCGGATGTAGGGGCTCCGCACCACGAGTTTCCCTCCCTCCTCTCCAGGAATGCCTGAATCACCAGCGGCTCTAATTACAGCCGCCTGCCTGCCCGGGTCTCTGACCTCACAGCAGAGACCCGGCTGCCCTCGTGTTGGCCCTGTGGAGCACCAGGGGTGGACCCACAGGCACCAAGCGTGCCCTCCTCCCTGCCTGGTTCGGCCTTCCTTCTGCCTGTCGCTCAGGGCTATGAGGGCGCTGGGCAGATGTGCGCAGGGGTGGGGTGGGGGGTGGCCTGCCCAGCAGAGCAAAACGCCTGGGGAAGGGAGCACCAGGTACCTCCTAGCCACGCCTCCCACGTGCCGGCGCTTCATCCACACCCTGCCCAAGCCCCAGCTATGGGATGCCATGGGTCCCCTTCTACCGAGGAGGTCACGGCTGATTAGGGAGGGGGCTTGGGAGCTGCATGGGTCTCACAATCCTGGGACCTCCGTCAGCTCTTGCGTGAGCCTTGGGGGCGTGGCGCTCCTGGTGGCATTGTGTGTGCATGCAGCAGGCTGATGTCTCCACAGCGGCACATGGTGCCCCTGCACCTGCTGTGGCCTCTGACATCCTCTACACACCCCGCATAAATTCTAGGTGCTGGCTGACTCCAAAGGCTTCCTGCTAGGAGCCAGTGCTGTGACGCAGTGGGTTAAAGCCCTGGCCTGAAGCGCTAGCATCCCATATGGGCTCTGGTTCTAGTCCCAGCTGCTCCACTTCTGATCCAGCTCTCTGCTATGGCCTGGGAAAGCAGTAGAAGATGGCCCAAGTCCTTGGGCCCCTGCATCTGCATGGGAGACCCAGAAGAAACTCCTGGCTTCGGATTGGAGCAGCTCCAGCCATTGCGGCCACCTGGGGAGTGAACCAGCGGATGGAAGACCTCTCTCTCTCTGTCTCTACCTCTCTCTCTAACCCTGTCTTTCAAAAAAAAAAAAAAAAGCCTTCCCGCGCTGGAGTCAGGCTTGGGGTGATCTGCTAAGCGCCCAGCCCCCTCCTTGCCTCTCCCCGCACTGCCCCCTGGTGGGCGCCCCTCCTGCCTCCTTATCAGACACCTCACTTTTGCTGGGCCCACCAGGGGTTTCTCAATGCTGGGGGCCTGTCCTCTCCCCCACCCGATCTGTTTTTAGCTCTGTCCCCTGCAAAACCTTAAGAGGGAACCTGGTGCCTGGGGTTGGGGCCTCCAAGTCTTGGCGAGCCGCCCAACCCCTGGGTTGCAGCCTAGGCTGTTGAGGAAGGGGCACAGAGGTGGGGCCGGCTAGGGGCACAGGGGCTTCTCTGTGGCTCTGAGGACCCTCCCAGGGCACAGAGAGACATGCCAGGGGAGGGCAGCCCAGGGGGCACGCCCCTATGCCAGCAAGCCTGCCCGGCCACTCTGCTCTCTCCCTGGACCTCTGGCTGGGTTTGGTGGCAGTGGGCTGGGGCCAGCCAAGGCTTCAGCCCTGGGGAGAGGCTGGTGGCATAGCAGGGTCCTGGGGCTGCAGTCAGACGCTGGGCGCCAGTCACCTTAAGGCTACCACCTCAGCTTCCTGGGGCAGGCAACCTTGCTCCAGGTCATCTCATGCCTGATTTGACTGGGTTCCCCCCAGCCAGCTCTTCCCCACACTCTAGTACCCTGAGTGGCTTGCCTATGCCATCTCTGAGCCCCTTTGCACGAGCTGGGCCTCTGCTTTGTCCTCAGTAAACAGAAGGGTTCGGTCGGCGTGTCCTTGGCGTGTCCTTGGGGGTCCCTGCTACCCCGCACGATGCCCGCCTTCTTCCCCATCCTCAGCAACCAGCTCCCAGACTGTGCACAGTCCCATCTCACCCTTGTTTATTCCTGGGAACGAGAGGCTGACCTCATCGCCTGCAGAGGCAGGGCACAGCCCCTCCCTGTCAGGGCTCTGCCTGGCGTCTCCCAGGCCCTGGGGGCCTCCCCCACCCTGGGCCGTGCACTGCCAGGCTGCAGGTTCCCCCTTGCAGCCCACACACCCTGCAGCCAGGCCGGCGGGCTCCGAGAGGGGAAGAGAGGCCCTGAGCCCAGTCGGGCCGAGTGAACAGACAGCAGGCTCTTGGAGAGCCGGCTGCAGGCCCAACGGGGGGGGGGGGGGGGAGCCTGCTGAGAACAATGAGTGGCATCTGGACAGAACTTGTAGTTACAAAGGCTGGGCGGCTGGGAGTAGCTGTGTGCGGCCACTGGCCGAGGCTCGGGGTGGGGTGGGACACAGCATGCCTGGCTGTGTGTTTAAGGACGAGCCCTGCCCTCTCTGGTCTGTTCTCTTCTCCACAAAAGGAGGCCCCCACACTCCCACTTGGCTCTGCTGCTCTCCCACCTTCCAGGCGAAGCACCTGACCCTCCTTGTTAGGGTCTCGGTGGGGTATCGGGAACTTAGACAGCTCCCAGCAAATGTGCTGTGTGTGTTTCCCTAGGACAGGGAAGGCAGGGCTTAGGGACAGGAGCTGGGCAAACTCAGCCTCAGCCCAGGCCCCCTGCCCCAGCCCGTTAGAGGGTGCTGAACTGCCGGCTACCTCCTCGGACCCGCCCCAGGGGCATCAGCCATCACCACTGCCCTTCGTGGGTAAAGGGAGCCGAGATGCAGAGTTAAGTGCACTGTCCCAGGCCTCCAAGCTAGCGCGGGCTGGGGGCAAGGACTCACCCGCCTCCCGAGCCTGCGCCCGTAACCACTGGACCGTACTGCCCCCCGGCTCTCTGCCTGTCCCTTTAAGCCCTGTCTCCTGTACCTCTCTACTTTGCCTGGCACGCTGTGACCTACAAAGCCATGCTTTCCCGTCCCCGGCTCGCACCCTGGACACATCCCTCTCCTCTCCAGCCCACTCGAGACAAAAACCCACAGCCACATCCCCAGTAGAAGCCCCTGTGTGGTTCTGGTGGTGACATAATTCCCCCAGCCCGCGCGGCTGCAGGTTGACCGCGGTATCCCGCAGTGTGCGTGCAGCGCCTGGCCTATACCAGGCTCTCAATAAAAAATAAAGACAGGGCTGGCGCTGTGGGGCAGCGGGTTAACACCCTGGCCTGAAGCACCAGCATCCCATATGGGCGCCAGTTCGAGACCCGGCTGCTCTGCTTCCTATCCAGCTCTCTGCTATGGCCTGGGATAGCAGTAGAAGATGGCCCAGATGCTTGGGACCCTGCACCCGCGTGGGAGACCCAGAAGAAGCTCCTGGCTTCGGATGGGCACAGCTCCGGCTATTGCGGCTATCTGGGGAATGAACCAGCAGATGGAGGATCTCTCTCTCTCTCAAACTCTGTCTTTAAAATAAATAAAATAAATCTTTAGAAAAAATAAAGCCTCGTGCAGGGCCAGGCCTCCCCGCGTGAGAACAGCTGGGTCTCCGCCCTCTGACCCGGCCCGGGGCCCCTACCTGATTCGAAACTCCTCCACTTTCTGCAGCACCTGCAGCAGGTTGGCCTCGAGCTGCGCCCGCTCCTGGCTCACGGCGCGCAGCTCCTCCTGCAGCCGGCCCTGGTACTCCTCGTAGTGGTGCCCCAGGTCGAAGGCGGTGGGGTCCTGGCCCTGTAGGAAGCTCCAGCGGGTCTCCAGCAGCTGGTTACGCTGCTCCAGGGCTTGCACCTGGGACAATGAGGAGGGCGCCGAGTGGGCCAGGTGTGGGTGCGCCCGAGCGCCCCAACGCGGGCGGGCGGGGGGGGCGCTTCCTGGGAGGCGGCGGCTCATCCGTGCATGTCCACCCCCGGGGCCCTGCGTGTTTGGAGTGCGCCTCCTGGGACAAACACTGATCAGCTGAGGGTGCCAAGATCAGAGAGGATCTGATCGAGGTGGAGCCACCCAGCAGGGGGAACCGGGGTGCCGAAGCGTCTGGCAGGCTCTCCTGGGCCGTGTGGGCTGGGGTGGGAGACCCCAGGGAACATGGGCTGTCCCGGGCTCAGCTGCCCCCTTCTGGCTGCAACAAGCCTGGTCTTGTCTTGTTTTGGAAACTTGGGGCCTTGTTAGTGTTTCAGTAAAGACTAATCCTCTGGACACCCCCAGACTCTTCGCAGCCCCCACCCCGCCCTGCCCCAGCCGGAGCCTCAGTTTCCCCAGCTAGAACCACCTCTGACAGCTGCTGGGTGGAAGAACCCAGGGACTGCTTGGATGAAGTATTGATAGCAAATGCTTATGTGGCGCCTACTGTGTGCGGGCCTGCCATCTTTAACTCGTTAAGTCCCTGCGAGGAGCCATCAAGGGTGTGTTATGGACAAGCTAACCAGGTGCCCAGAGGCAAGGAGCTTGGCAAAATTGGCACCGGACAGAGCCAGGCCTGGAATCCAGGCACTTGGGCCCCCTGGCTGTGCTGGGGCCACTGTGGGTCCCGGGACCCCAGCTTCCCCGTTCTGGGCTGGGCTTTGGCTTTCGGTGGGGGCTGGCTTTGCGCTGAGCACTGCTGCTCATCTCCTGCTCGGTCTCCCTCCCCCTCCTCCTACTCCTGCAGGGGCTTCTGTGGCTGTCAGGGTCCCTCCCGGGGTCCTCTCCTCCCCACCCCGAGTTCAGCTCCACTGGGCCCAGGGCTCTCCTGTCTGTGCCCCCAGCCTCTCTCTCTCTCTCTCTCTCTCTCTCTCTCTCTCTCTCTCAGGAACGCTTCCCTGCCCCTCCTCCCAGGGCCTGGCTACCCGACCCCCCCCATGTGTGCTCCTGCAGGAAGCACCCCCTGCCCCCTCCCGGCTGAGCCTGAAAGATGCCTCTTCTTTCCACCAAGACCCTCAGTTACGTGCCCCTCACTTGTCCTGAGCCGCGGTGGCCCGGGAGCCCTCTGCCCCCTTGGTGCCCAGGCTATGGGTAGCCACCGAGGTGAGGGGCCGGCTGCGGCCTGGCTCCTGCACCGTGCAGGCTGTGTCGGTCCTGAGGATGCCACGCTGCTAAGTCCAGCACTGTTCCCTGCAGCCACAGGTGGACGGCTGGGCCTCTTCCTGCCCCAGCTGGGATGCTGTAGGGTGCTGGCGCCTGGCAGAGCGGCCAGCAGCCTCTGGGCCGGTGCCCTGTGTCCCTTGTTACCAGGGGAGGGGTCTCCCCACCCCTCTCCGTCTCAGCCTTGAGCACATCCTCGGGCTTCCCCCACATGCTGAAGCTCTTGGGAAGCCCCCTTTGCCACTCCCCCAGCAGGAGCACAAGACGATGGCCAAGCTCCCACCCATACAGGTAAGTTCTGCGTGAAGCTGACCTTAGGCCTGCTGTCTGCCGAGATCACAGCCAGACAGGTTCAGTAGGGATGGAGGTCAGGAGGGTGCCCTGCTTTGTATGTGAGAGGGAGTGTTGTGGGGGGGAGGTACCTGCTCACCCCACCTCGCCTCTGTTTTGACAAGCAGAGCCGCGTGTTTACACTGAGGGTGGGGCGAGAGGAGATACGGGAGGCTCCTTCCTCCACCCAGGAGCAGCAGAGAAACCTTCACACCAGGAAGTCCTTCCTTTAGTCTAACCTCACTCTCGCATGCTCCAGCTCCAGCCTGAGCATGTGGCTCTGGCCAGCCAGTCCAGCTGGTCCTAGGGGACCAGGGGCAGGTCCCGTCTCCCTCTCCCCTTGGTGAATTTTCTGTGGCCACCGCCACCCAGAGCCTCTCCTGCAGAGAGTCTCCTCCTTCTCGGAACAGAGACCCAGGGAGGCCGAGGATTCCTGCGCCCTGAGAGGTGCGGGGTGACTGCTTCCCACCCAGGAGGGTGCTGAGCATCGCCGCTTGCTCCTCCTCCTCCTCCTCCTCCTCCTCCTCCTCCTCCCCGTTCTAGCTGGAGCCCCTGTCCTTATACAATGGCAGCTTGACCAGCGGCCCCTGGGAACAAAGGCCAGCTCTGTCTGCCTCCCCATTCTGCAGGTGGGGAAACTGAGGCCTGGAGGCCCAGAACTGACTCCATGGCACTGGCCAGGCCAGGGCAGAGTCTGGGGGGAGGGATATATATATATATTTTACAGGGGAGATTGAGTCCACTAAACTACAGCTCCTGACTGGGGCAGGAAGCTGACCACCTGGGAGAGCCACTCCCCCAGGCTCCAGGGGGTGCATCCGGGCCACACAGGTCCTGTTCCTGCGATGGGGGGGAGGGTCTGCTCCATTCCCCAGGGGGGCCGCTGAATCTCACGGGAAAGGCTTGGTGGTATCTTTCTCCACACGCAGAGTGTTTATAGAACACTCGCTGCACACCAGCAAGGTCCTAACTGCTTTTCAAAAATTACCCCATCTGGTCCTGACAAGCGGCGCATTGCCCAGGGGGTCCTGGGGAAACTGAGAGGTGGAGACATTTGCCTGAGGTTGCACAGCCATGGTGCAGCCAGGAGTCAACCCCCATCATGTTCCTGCAGGGGTCCCACTCTCATGGGCTGCCTGCTTCCTCCCAGGGCCCTCAGAGTTGGGGAGGGATGGCAGCAAACAGATCTCCCCCACTGGAGTGGGGGCTCTCGGGGCAGGGCCCCTCCAAAGGGCTGGCACCCCCGGCTCCCTGAGTCTTCCCCACCCATGGCCCAGAAGGGCACCCCATGTCAAGGCCGAGGTCCAATTCAGCTGCAGGACCCTGCCCCAAGGGCCCCCCCCCCGCCCTCTGCCAACCCTGGCTCCCACTGCCATGGCAGAGGCCCAGGGTGATATGGGGAGCAAAGCCACCCACTGGAGCCAGATGACACAGCTCGGCGAGGCGAGGCGCTCCTTTTAAGGGATTCAGCCAGGTGTGGGGCGGAGGCGCCTTCTCTCCGAGCCCAGCACACCCTCGTCCTCTCACTGCACGGCCCCCGCCCGGCCACTCAGTGCAGAGGAGAAAATTCCGCTCCAGGGGCCAGAACAGGGTGGGAGGCAGGGAAAGCATCGGTCTCCATCCCAGAGAGCACCGACTTTGTCTCTCACAGGCTTGGGTTCAAATCCAGACGGCGCCACTTGCTGTGTGCCCTTGGGCAAGGCACCCAGCCTCTCTGGGCCTCCATCTGCCCATCTGCAGGGGTGCTGTGTGGGTAGGTGACATTGCCCCGGCCGGCCATGTCCCTGTAGAGGCTTAACCCCGGGCAGGGGCTTGGTGTGTGCAACTCGCCTCCCTCTGCCTCCTCTGTCTGCAAGCTCCCGCCTCATGGGAGAGATGAGCACCCCAGAGTCAGCCTCAGAGAGACCAAGATGGAGGCAGGGAGGGGACCGGGGTGGGCGGCTGGGTTGTGCATTTCCGGGGAGGATCAGTCCAGTGGGCAGACACAGATGGGCAGGAGACAGCGGAGCGGAGGGCTGGCCAGAGAGGCTTCGTGGGGCAGGGAGGCCGGGGAGGTGGACGGGACTTCTCTGGGGGCTCCCTTGCTTGGGGAAGAGATTTGGTGCCCTTGCCCCATGGCCAGTTGCAGGCCATGGGCAGTGGGGTGCAGGACATGTGAGGGTTGGGGTGCCAGGACTCCATCCTGGGACTTTGGGGGAGTGGCATGGGCAGCCCTGCTGGTTGTCTGGTTCCGACCAGAGGCACCCATCCTCTCCCACCTACCTTCCTGCCTCCACACACAGGGCCCCACAGCCCCTCGTGGCCCTGCCCCGGGCTTCTGAGCTGGGCTGCCTTTAGGACCAGAGGCTCCAGGGACCGCCAGGAAGGTCACCTGCACGGCGGAGCCTGCCTCCTCGGGGTAGCAGTGCCGCCTGCCATTGGCTGTGGGCAGGGGCGGGGCTGCTGACCTAAGCTGGGGCTGGCTGACCTCGGCCACCTGCCAGGGGGCGGCTGGGACCCCCGCTCCCGCTTCTGCTGCTCACCTTGCCAATCAGGGAGGCGAATTTGTCATTGAGCACCTTCATCTCCTCTTTCTCCTGGGTCTTCTGCTGCTGCAGGGCCGGGTCCACCTTGAGGTCCAGGGGCACCAGCAGGCTGGGGTTCACGGTCACCTTGGGAATGGTGCCCGTCGGCCAGCAGCCCGTGAAGCTGCGGGAGCTGAAGCTCGGCCCCGGGGCCCCACAGCGGCCCCATCCCGAGGTCCCAGGCCGGGGGCTGCCTGCCGGGGTCGCCTCACAGTCACTGAGGCTGTCGAAGCCAACGACGCAGGAGCGGCAGGCCATGGCGCCCCCCGGCCCGGCAGCGGCAGGGCCCAGGGGCGAGCCAGCAAGGGAGGGAGAGAGCGAGACTCCGACGACGACGGACGGCAGGCTCCTGTCGCTGCCAGGACGGGCTGGGGACTGAGGAGCAAACACCTGTTGTACAGTGCTCATTACAGCAGGAGGGCGGGACGCCTCGCAGCCAGACCAACCTGTTGGATGCTGTGGCGTGCCCGCCCCGCCCCCAGCACCACGCAGGATCTCCCTCGCCGCCGGGGGGCGGGGTGGGGTGGGGGGTAGAGTTGTCTGCAGAGGGGGCTGGTCCCAGAAGCCCCTCAAAGCCTAGGCAAGCCTGGCTCAGGGAGTCAGGGCGGCTTGGGGAGGGGGGGTTGGGAATGGGGAGACTCCAAGAAGAAGCGGCGGAAAGAGCAAGCGAGCGCGTGCCTCTGGCCCCAGACCTTGCTGCATACCTGCAGGGTGACACAGCTTGGCTTGCATACTTCTGGAAAAGATGAGGCTGGCCAGCCCTGAGTTCCAAGTGGGAGGCAGCTGCCCGGGCACCGTGCCAGCCTGGCACTGGAAAACAGCACCTCCTTTCTTTTGGTTCTGGCTGCCAAACACTCCGAGTGGCTTATCTCTCCTCCCCTCCCCCACCCACCCCCACTGTCTCTCCTCTCCTCCTGCCTTCGCCCTATCATTTATTGGTAATCATATTGATATCATCTATCGAGGGCCTGCTATGTGTGCACCCATATCTCGGAGGCTTGGAGTCCTTGGCTTTGGGGGAGTGATGGATTCAGGACTTGTTAGACTGATGGTGACTGGTGTTTGAAAAAGATTTATTTATTTTCACTTTTAAAAATAATTTTAAAGGTTTATTTATTTTACTTGAAAGTCATAGTTACTCACAGAGAGAAGGAGAGAAAGAGAGAGAGAGAGAGAGAGAGAGAGAGAGAGGTCTTATATCCGCTGGTTCACTCCCCAATTGGCCACAATGGCCAGAGCTGAGCTGATCTGAAGCCAGGAGCCAGGAGCTTCTTCTGGGTCTTCCATGCGGGTGCAGAGCCTAAGCACTTGGGCCATCTTCCACTGCTTTTCCAGGCCACAGCAGAGAGCTGGATGGGAAGTGGAGCAGCCGAGTCTTGAACCAGCACCCATATGGGATGCCGGCACTGCAGGTGGCGGCTTTACCCACTATGCTGCAGCGCCAGCCCCTTAAAAAGAATTTATTTGCAAGGCAGAGTGACGGACTTCCTTTTGCTAGTTCACTCCCGAAATGACTGCAATGGCTGGGGCTGGGCAGAGACCAAAGCCAGGAGCTGGGAACCAGGAGCTTCATTTGGGTCTCTCCCCTGTCAGCGGCAGGGGCCCCAGCACTTGGGCCATCCGTCTTCTGCTGCTTTCCCAGGCACCTTAGCAGGGAGCTGGACAGGAAGTGGAGCAGCCGGGACTGGAATCAGAACGCTGATGCGGGCTGCCAGCATCACTGGCGGCGGCTTAACCCGCAGGGCCGCTCGCTCGCGGGTGCCAGCTTCCGGTCCGGGATTGCTGTTGAACACAACAGTGCTCAGCAGAGGACCCGGAAGTGCGCTCTTGTCCAGGCGGACGGGGCCTGCAGGGGGGCGGCCGCCATCCCCTACAGCTCTGTGGCTTGGAGAATGACCCCCTGCCTCCTCTGCCTTCTGCCCCCTCCACGCCTCCTCTCACCTGGGCCCCTGAATCTCTGGTGGGGCAGGAGGCGTTTCCCCTGTCTCAACCCCACCCCGGGTGCTGGGGGCCGGAGCGGGAGACCCAGGTGATCAGGGATGGAAGGGACCAAGGGAAGAGAGAGCTCCCCAGAGGCGCTTCCCCCTTCCCATAGGCTGGCCGCTGAACTCCTCCACTCAGCACCCACCCGCTGCCCTTTACCCTGGCCTGGTATCCGAGTGGCATGTGGCCAGGCCTGGCCTGCCCTCCTCCCCCACGCCGGTCACCTCCGTGTGCTCCGCCAGTGCCCGAGTGACAGCTCACGGGGCGGGGATGACCCCAACATCCCCTTCTTGCTCACCAAAAGCACATGTGAGAGGGGGTGCTACAGCTTTCTTCACCCAAGGTCACCCAGCAAGAGGCTGGGGGGTGGGGGGCTGCGGGCCTGGCCTCAGGCCACACAACTTATCTTAGCCTCTAAGCTTTTATTAAAATTTTTTTTTAATATTTATTTATTGGCATGAAAGGTGCAGTTAGAGAGAGAGAGCAAGAAGGAGAACGAGCAAGCTCTTGTCTGCTGGTTTACTCTCCAGTGCCTGGACTAGGCCCAGCTAAAACCAGATCTGGAACTCCATCCGGGTCTCCCATGTGGGTGACCAGGGACCCACATACTTGAGCCATCACTGCTGCCTCCCGGGGTGCACATGAGCAGGAAGCTGGAGTGGGAACAGAGTGGGGACCAGGTATTCCGGAATGGGATGTAGTTGTCCCAAGCAGCCTGCCCCAGTTTCTCTGTTTGGGACAGGGAAGGAGGTTGCCTAGGGCAATCCCTTGGCCTGGCCCATTGCTGTAGTCTCCGAGGCAGAGGCCTGGTTCTCCTGTGCGCCTCTGCCAGCCTTCTGGTCGACCTGGGCGGGTGGTAGGTAACTGTGAAGACCCGGGGTTCCAGGCTCGGCTTGTGGGGCTGGGGGGCTGTCTCTGCGCTCGAGCATCGAGCATCAGGTGGCTTTTCTCAGGGCTATTCTGCCTTGGTGGAAGAAGGGGGGACCTGCTGCCCAGGGGGCTCAGGCTGTGGGGCTCCCTCTGGCCCTGCTGTGGACCCCTTGGGCACAGTTGGTGGAGGTGTCTGGTTGTCAGCTCTGGCTGCTGAACTGGAACAGCAGCAGAAAAGCCCAAAACAAACAGAACTCCTGGGCCCCGCCCAGCCCTGCCTCCTCCTCCCTCCCCTTCCTTGTCCCCCCTGCCCCTCCCTGGCTCCACCCCTTGTGGGGGCTCCAGGAGCCCTGGTGCTCAGAGCCCTGAGGACCTCCACCCTCTCTGCGGACCCGCATGATCGGCTCCTGGTCCTGGAAGGAGCCCGGAGCACCCAGCCCCTGGGGAAGCAGGAGACGGGGTGGGGGTTGGGAGAGACATGCAGAGGGGGACTCAGCCCTTCTGGGGGTGTTTGGGTCCGGGGCAGTCTGCCCGCCCCTCCTGGAGGTGCTGTCACATAAGCTGCTGGGCTGGGGGTTTCGGGGTGGGGGTCGAGCTTGGGGAGCCCCAGCTGGGTCTCCGGGAGTCTGTCTTGGTTGTCGCTTCCACGGTGGGTGGCAAAATCTCCTCCCACCTGCCCGCTCCCTTGGGTGGGGAGTGGTCGTTAAGCAAGGGGCACCCTCTTGGCTTTTCTTGCATCTCTTCCTCCACGTCGCTCCTTCCGGCCTCTGAGCCCCCTCCCTCTCTTCCGCAGCCGCCTCTTTCTCCGTGGTTTCCGTTGTCTCTGCCTGCGCCTCTCAGAGCCTCCTGCCCACGCAGGCCTGGCTCTGTCTCAGCCTGGGGGAGGAGAGGCGTCTGAGCCACCCCTGCTGCCCTGCCAGATGGCGATGGCCTTACGGGAATGGCATCCCTGTGTCACAGTTTCAGCGCCTCCCCTCCGCCCTGCGCCCCATTTGGCCCGAGGCACAGCGACCACGAGGCACAGCGGTTGCAAGACACAAAGCTGACGGATGAATGCTGCAGGTTCTGGGACAGCCTGGGGCTGTTGGAGATACAGGGGACTCTCTGGGCAGGGGAACATCTCAGCCTCACTGTAGGGTCACTCCTCCAGGAAGTCCTCCAGGATGAGCCCGCTCAGGTCCCTGGCCCCCTCTCACCCTCTCTCCTGAGTGCCTGTCCACACCAGAGTCATTATCTGGGCCCGTCTCTCTCCCTGATGAGGCTAGAAGCTCCTGGCCTCCCTTCTCTGGATGTTGCCCTTGAGCAGGGCTGTCCCGAGGCCTAGTCCGGGGTGGGGGATAGCCCAGCCTGGGAGCTGCGGGGCAGGGATTTCTTAGGGCCTGGGGCTGGGATTGGGAAGCAAGTGTAGGTCTGAGGAGGCAGAGGCCAAGAAGGGGGAGATGACTGGAAAGACCAGGAGGAGGAGGATTTAGGCTTCCTCTCCCCTCTGCACCCCCCTGGTGTGGCCTCTTGGTCCCTGATCCCCTGTTCCAGGGGACAGGACACATCCTCATGGTTGTAGGCAGAGAGAGGGCAGAGAGGGGGGTGAGGGCAAGTCAGAGACAAGGCACGGGGAGGATGGAGCAGGCGGGAGGGGGCACCGACCCCAGGGCGGTCACCTTCCCAGAGGTGGACAGCGAGCCAAGAGGGGCAGCTGCCTGGGTGGTGGGGGAGGGGCGGGGGCAGTGTCAGGGCTGAGACGTGTGGGTTGGGGGTGCTGCCGTCAGGAGCAAGAGCAGCGGCTGCAGGGAGCTCAGAGGAGCAGTGACTTTCGGGGGCCGTGGACGCTGCCGTCAAGGTCATCTCCTGACCATGAGGCTCAGGGGCCAGACGATTCCCGGGAAAGTCCAACAGGACATTTCACCCTGTGCCCTTCTCCTGCTCTGGGCCCCCTCTTCACGCTCCACTTCTCTCTACAGTCGCTGCCCGGCCACCGCGTCTCCCAGAACCACGGAGACACCCATCACGTTAGAAGACCTGCTTCCTGTGCTGGGGCTCTGCCACTTCCCAGCTGGGCGGCTGGAGGCCAAGTGCTTGACCTCTCTGGGCTGGATGATCATTGCTTTTGTGCCCCCCCCCCCCCCAGTTTGGTTCAGCAAAGTCAGTCCCTAGGGACCTGGCTTCCGGTGTGACGGGCAGGTGCAGGTGTTCTGTAATGAGGCCAGGCCTCTGGGGCTGGCGAGAGGAAGCCCGGGTTAATTACACTTTCCCATCTCCGAGCACTTAGTCCAATTTGTAATTATTTATTGTTGGTTGTTTACCTGTTTGCTTGTGTCTGCTTCCATTAGAATATCTGGGTGCACAGGTCTTGTGGGTGTCCCATGCCTGGTGCATAGTAGGTGCCTGGTGATGACATGCTTCTGGAATGAGCAAGAGACCACCCTTCCGCACATGCGCCTGTTACGTTGCATTGCGACACAGGACATGTGGAGAGATTTTTATTTTTTTAAGGATGTATTTATTTATTTATTTGAAAGGCAGAGTTACAGAGAAGCAGAGGCAGAAAGAGAGGGGG